CAACCTGACTCGAGAATCAGGTTATCATCAGCAAATTTTCACCTGCGACAACATGAGCACTGTCAGTCGGTTGGGCAATCGTACGACCTCAATTGCAGAACTCTTTGAGGCAATCAACTTTGGCCAGTCAGAGTACTCGCCAAAGTTTTTCAACCGTTTTCACACTGAAATTCAACCGACAAAACCGATGTACATTTCGGAGTACTGGTCCGGTTGGTTTGACGCCTGGAATCAGACTGGGCATTCGGTAAGACCGGCTAAAGAATTAGTTGATGTAAGTGATTTGAAGTAATATCAATGTTTTTAAACTTTTAATTTGATTTGTATATAGAATGCTGAAAAGATGATGCTCAGCTTTAATGCATCAGTCAACTTCTATCCAATGCTAGGTGGAACAAGTTTTGATTTTTGGGCTGGATCAGAAAATGAAAAACTTCACAGGAGAGTCACAACTTCGTATGACTTTGACACTATCATTTCAGAGGGACTTCAATACACTGAAAAATACCATCTAGTTAGAAAGTTGTACTTAAAACTTGTCAATGTTGGAAGAATGCCAAAACTTCATCTGCCTAAAGTTCCACAAATAACCACATTAACATCTTATGACAATGTAACTGTGACGCATTATTTACCATTAGAACAACTATTGAAAAAATGTAGAAAATTTGAAAATCTCACAAAACCAGTAACAATGGAAATGCTTAATTTTGGAGCAAATTATGGACAACGATATGGTTTTATCCTTTATAGAGTGGTTGGAAAACAAGTTAAAGAATACCAAATAACTGGCCCTATTCGAGATAGGGGAATCTTTTTAGTTGACAGCGTTGAAGTTGATGTACTTCAAGATGCGGACAACTTCACAACAACAATTACTCAGAACAAATGGTCGCTTAATGTATCTTCAAATGCACACACTGTTGACATGCTAGTTGAGAATCAAGGACGCTCAAATTATCGAAAATTGAAACTTGATCATGCTCGCAAAGGTATCGATTCATCTATTTTGTTAAATGGAGCGCCAGCTGGTCATTTGGAAGTTTATTCTCTCGATTTTAATGCCACTTTTATGAAACAATTAAACGAATTAAACAACTGGGTTCCACTAATTGAACATCAGCCAATCACATCACCGGCAATGTATCGTGGAAAATTGCAAGTTACCGGACAACCTAAAGATACATACATATTTTTAGAAAGATGGACAAAAGGCAATGTTTTTGTAAATGGCTTTAACATTGGTCGATACTGGAAAGTAGGGCCACAGCAAACTTTGTACATTCCAGGACCATTGCTGAAAACTGGAGATAATATTGTTGAAATTTTTGAGTTGCACAAAAATGGTGTACAATTGAGTTTTGTTCAAAACCCGATTTGGAAAAATTAACACAAAAACAACATTTTTTAACACAATATTAAACAGTCAAGTTTTATATTATGCTAATCTTTTTTAATCTATGATGATTCAAAATTACAATACTAAAATAAAATAAATGGTAATGTTAACAATTAGTAATCTATATGTATCATAAGTAATGAGGTATCCATTTAAAAGGTTAAAACCACTGAGAGAAATTGCTTTTATGTTCATGCAGATGTTGTGAAGTTTTATTAAATTGAATGTATCTAAAAACGGATTTGAATATCGTACAAAATGGGTTGTTATAAAAGACAACTTTTTTGCTATGTTTTCATTTCGCTTGACAACTCCTCCTGCGTAGTATATGATAGCACCCAAAAGTATAATGTGAGCAGCTAACGCTGCTGCGTAAATGATTTTGACGTATAATGCAATTCCAGAAAAAATGGAAATGTAAATGGTAAAAGAAATAATCATAACGTAAAACACAAAAACAATGCTTATGTAAGTAGTCCAAAAATAGTTATAATCAGAAAGTTCATCTTGAAAATGACTAAATTTTTTATTTAACTTAATAAACTTACTCCAAATTTTTGAATTATGTTTAAAAGCATAGTTTGATTTAAATTGTAATAAACATTTTTCAATTTTTACGCAAATTGATTTTTGTTTGATGTGCACGTATTTACTGACTACAATAAAAGCAATTAGGTTACTCACAATAGTATTGACAGCAACGTAAACCCAAAAATCAAGAATAATTGTCCAGAAAACACTTGGCAAAAAATGGTTAGAGTATAAATCAGCTTGAATGTAAAGGAAACTGCAACATATTGGGCCAAACACTGGAAAAACTGCCATGATTCCGTAATGATAATACCATTTGGCAGCTTTTCTGACATGATCAAACTTTTTAAATTCTTCAATTGAAAGGCCAAACTTTGAAGGTGGTAAATAATCTAAATCGTTGACTGACATGTGAAATATTGCAAGAAACTTGTAATCTAAAGTGTGAGGTGTAAGCGCAAACTGAAGGTACAAAAATGAAATAGTTGACCAAAAAAGAAAACTGGTTTCCAAGTAATAACTATCGTTTTTAAACATTTCTGTTCCAAGATAAATTCGTTTTATTTGAGTATTTGCTACTGGCTTAAAATAGCAAATGCAAAAACATCTCATCATGTAAAAAAAGGAAAAATATTTTAAGACACGCAAATGCCTGATGTTTTTATTAACTTTAATAGGATAATCTGGTGTTCGAAGTATTTGATAATCTTGAATATGAAGAGAGCGATAGTTATAAAGGCAATATTTAGATAAATTTTGATGCAAGCGAAGAAATTTTTTTCGATCATAGTAAATTTTGAATTCATCAATAATTTCTTGAAAATAATATAACGTTACGTAGTTTGTTAAGATAAAACGTTTAAGTTTATTAAAAATCATTTTAAAATATTATGTAAAAAATTATAATGAAATTGTTTTATGTAATGATATACTTTTAAACAATACACTAAAATTGTGATTAAGTTTCAAACTGAAAAACTTGCACTTACTTTCAGTATAACTTCAATATAATTTTAAAAATTATATAAATTTTATGATATGTGTTTACTTTTAAATCAATGTTTTTTAATTAAAAAGTCAACTCTAAATCATTTAAATCTTTAATTTAAACGTTTTTTAAGCATAAAAATACTAATTAAATTTTTTTTGTTTGTTAAAAACGTTAAGTTTTTGCCAAAATTAATAGTGTTTTTAACAATTTGTTTTAGTTTAAAATACTTTAAATTTTTTTTTAAAAAACATAAATTAACAATTTTGGTATTGACTAAGTGTAATTTTTTGGCATGAATACTTAAAAATATAAATAAATCAAACACTTTTAAACCCAAAATTTCTGATTGATAACTGGCACAAAACTCCCGTTACATTTAAAAAGTATTTTGTGTTTAATTTTATTTATATTTGACGTTTTGAACAAAAAAAAATGGCAAACATTAAGAATAAAAAATGCGCTTTAAACTGTGTTAAAAAATAAAATTTTGTTTTTGTTGTATTAAACGTCAGTGTGTGTGCATGTGTTGTTGCTTTGTAGTTTGTTTTGTGTGTTGAGCAGTTGCAATCCGGTTGCTCACTAGTTCACACAGTTTTACTGTTTGTTTCGTTTGTTGTCCACTGGACAAAACAGTTTGAACTTGATCTACAGTGCTGAAGGTGGCCAGTTGATTGAAGATGTTGGCAGGCGCCAGACGCAACCTGGTCGTCCTGTTTTTCCGATAGAGACTCGTTTTGTAGACAGCCAAAGGGCTCTTCGTGACTTAATCTTAAAGGTATCTTCACCTCGCTTGCTTTGCCCTTCCTTCTCCTTTTCCCACTCCTCTGCACTTTTTTCCTGCTTTCATGTAGCGCCTTTTTTTTTGGTCTGCCTTATTAAAAAAGAAGAAAAACACTAATGTGCTCTCCACATAAAAGGCGCCAGCCAAATAGCAGCGGCATTTGTGGTTAGTTTGATTAGCAGGCAAACAAGCACTTTGTGACCAATCAATTTTTTTCCTTCTGATCATCATGATTTAACCAGCAAACAAAGTGCCAACTGCACCACAAGTGCGGTGATGCACAACACTCATTTCACTTTTGTCGTCAAACATATATTTTTTTAGCTTATTTGTTCGACTCATTAGTTAAACTTTTGTTATTTCTGCGACATTTTTTTCAAATTTGCCTGGCTATTTTTCCATTTGCCAACCGTCAACAGTGAAACCGAAAAGTTGCCGTCACTGTAAACAACACTGAAAATGTCATTTTTATCCTCCAAGCCTACTTCAGTGAAAGACCAGCGGCGAGTCTTTGTCATCGGCGTCGGCATGACGCCCTTCACCCGACCTGGCCTCGACCTGACCATCGACTACCCCAATCTGGTTGAGGTGGCGGTGAAGGGAGCCCTGGCTGACGCCCACCTCCAGTACGGCAGTGTGCAGTTTGCCGCCGCCGGTTACGTCTTCGGCGACTCCACCTGTGGCCAGCGATCGCTCTACCCCCTCGGCATGACCGGCATTCCCATTGTCAACGTCAACAACAACTGCTCCACGGGGTCGACGGCGCTGGCCACCGCAGCCAGCGCCCTGCAGACGGGCCGCTATGACTGCGTCCTGGCGGTGGGCTTCGAGAAGATGGAGCGAGGGGCGCTGGGCGCCAAGTACCGGGACCGCGTGGCGCCCATGGACCGCCACGTGGCGGTGCTCAGCGAGATGCAGGCGGAAGGGCTGGCGCCGGCGCCCCTCACTGCGCAGCTTTTTGCCGCCGCAGGACGGGAACACATGCGCCTGTACGGCACCGAGGAGCGCCACTTCGCCGCCGTCGCCGCCAAAAACCACCGACACGCAGCGGCCAACCCAAATGCTCAGGTGGCGGCCAACAGGCAAAAAGAAGCGGATGATTTAAAAGAGGATGAGGAAGGGAAGGCGGAAGACTTGGAAGCTGCCGTTCTGCGCTCTCCGCCCGTCTTTGACTTTCTCACCAAAATGCAGTGTTGTCCCACCTCGGACGGCGCCGCCGCCGTTCTCCTGGCCAGTGAGGACTTCCTCCGAGCTCACCGGCACCTCGAGGCACAGGCGGTGGAGATCCTCGCCCTGGAGATGGTCACCGACACAGAGGCGACCTTCGCCGAGCCGCGTTCTGCCATTCGACTGATCGGCGGCGAGATGACCGCCCTGGCGGCCCAGGCCGCCTACCGCCGAGCGGCGGTCACCCCCGCCGAGGTGGACGTCATCGAACTGCACGATTGCTTCTCTGCCAATGAGCTGATCACCTACGAGGCACTGGGCCTCTGTCCGATTGGGCAGGCGAAGACGCTGGTGGAGCAGGCCGACAACACCTACGGCGGCAAGTGGGTCATTAACCCCAGTGGTAAGAGAAGAAGAAGAAGAAGAAGAGGAACCTATTAGCCTCTTTTTGAGCAATTTCTAATTTCTGTCCCTCCTTTGTTTTCCCCAGGTGGCCTTCTTGGCAAGGGCCATCCACTGGGCGCCACCGGTGTGGCGCAGTGCGTCGAACTGTGCTGGCAACTGCGCGGTCTGGCCGGCCGGCGACAGGTGACCAACGCCCGGTTGGCCCTGCAGCACAACATTGGCCTGGGAGGGGCAGCAGTGGTGGCCATCTACCGAATGATGCACTCCGCTCAAAGCACGCGCAGAGAACGTACTCGAAATCGACAAAAAAATAATTTTATTTTTAACTTTGTTTCTAAAATGTAATGTTTTTTAAAGTTGAAAACTAGTAATATTGAACTATTTTTTTATAAAATTGATAACTACATTTAGTTGTTTAACGTTTAGGTTAGTTGCGTTTTAAAAAAACAAAAACTAATAAACTATTAGGTTGGTTACGAAATAGTCAACGAGCAACAAAAAAATGTTTGACAGTTTGTTTTATCACTGTATTGTTTAAACAAAACTAGTGTTATCTTTATGTAGATGTAGTACATTTACCGCAATCTTATAAAAACTAATAGTGGTTTCGCATAATTTTTATATTTTGTTGTTGTCAAGCAAATAACAAAAAATTGCGTAAAAATCAACAATGATTCAAAAGACAACTTAACAAAACTAACAAACAAACATTAAAATTTTTTTAAATTTAAAATGGAACAACTTCTTTTAACCTATCGACAATGTAATGTTTTTTAAATTTATTTTTATATAATTTAACAATTTTTTTGTAGATTTAAAAATACCAGATTTATCGCCACTTAAGTGTGTTTTTAAACTTATAAAATCATGTCCAGGAACTATAAACATGCAACAATTTGTTTTAAAAGAAAAAGAAGATTCAATATCATCTTTAAAAACTAATTCATTACTTTACATCACAAAAATTTACATTGAAAATTTTTATTATTTTGACGCTATAAACGAGACAAAAGCTAAATCAGCTGAATTGGTTGCAGATAAAGTAATAGTTTTTTTAACAGATTGTATTTCTCAACAAGACGCTGATCGACTTTATCAAATGATGATGTTCCAACCAGCACCATGGCTTTACCAAGACAGTTTTGACAATTTTCAAAAACCAAATGACAAGTTTTTGGAAAATCGTTCAATTAATTTTATAGAAGAAAGTTTTCTAAATATACCAGCCAATACCAACAACTTAATTATTGTTGAAAAATGGTCTGAATTTTTTAATTTTTATTTAGAGTCAAGCTTGGGATGCGAAACTGAACTGCAAATTTTTAATAAAATGGTCATTTTAAAAAAGCATTTGTTTGAAATTAAATATGAATTGCCAACACCACTTGTAAAAACTTTTTTGTGTAAAATTCATTTAAAATATTTTACAAATTGCAAGTTTTCAGCTAAATCATATTTTGGATGTGAAGACGCTAGAAAAAAAGTTTCAATTAAAATAATAATTTTTTTACAAAAAATGATAAATTTAATTAGAGATTTTAAGAATAGTGTTGAAAAAAACAAGTCAAAACCTTTTAAAATTGTTTTGAATTTAATAAACAAGCATTCTGATATAATTAAAATGGTTAAATCTGGATCTAATTTGAATCAAACTATACCTAAATTTTCGACTAAAATTGAAATAATAAACGTTGTTGAAATCGAAGAGTTTGGAAAAAATAGTGGCAATGAAGCAGCTGATAAAATGGCTACATTTTTACAACTGTTAGCAGTAAATGTCTTAGAAAAAAATTCTGACACAAATGAAAAAGTATGTTGTTTTATTTAATTTTCATAATGTACACTTTCCTGCGCGACTTAAGTTTATTAGCAATTTTAAGTAATAAGTAGTTTTATTTCAAAAACTTTGCATTTAATGAAGATGATTTTAAATACTGCATTAACTCAAAATAAATTTAAAATAAAAATAGCTAAGTTTTAACAATTAGGTTATATTTTTGCTGCAATACAATCTTTACATTATTTAGATTTAATATGGAGTTTTTAAAATGGTATTCGAATTAACATTGCGTCAATTTTTTAATAAAATTATAAAATTTTTACCAAACTATTCTAAATATTTTTTTAAAACAGGATTTAAAATGCAAAAAAACTGATGAAAATATTACATTAAATAAAAATAGTTTATTATTTGATACAATTGAAATTATCGAAAATAATTTGGATCAAAATAATAAAGGTAAATATTTTAAACAAAAACAGCTTTTTTTAAATTTTTAAAATTTTAACATTTAAAACAAGCAAAGAACATTTTTTGACATAAACAAATTTTTCAGGAGATTAAGATTACATTTTTTACATCTGCACTTCTTAGTAACACACAAATGTTTTATGTAATAATTTAATGAAAAAACAAAGTTTTATTACTTGTTGCTAACACAATTTGTTTTATTAGAAACAGTTTTTAAAAAAAGATAGCATATTTTTGTAGCACTTTCTAAAAATGAACAACGTACAAAATATTGTTTTGTGGTTTTATCATATATTTAAAAAATGTTTTAATATTTTAATTAAAATTTTTGTTTATTTTTTAGCAAAAACAATGAATGGCATTAAAAAGAAACTTGAAAATGTGAAAGAATCAACATTTAAACAGAAACTTGTTCGCGTTTACAATTCTGGTAAAAACTTTTAACACTTAATTTTGTATTATATTTATAACTTTTTTATATTTTGTAAATTGTATAAAGCCGTTACATCAAAAAAATATCCTTTGGAAATACTTAAACATCTTCGAAACAATGGAATAAATTTAGAAATTAAACAAACTTCTACAAAAAATGGTTTTGAAACCACAGTTAAGTTTCGTGATTTCCCTAATAGTAATTTTCCAGAATTTTCTGATGTTGCTCGAAAAAAAATAGATTCACAAAAATCAACTGCTAATAAACTTGTTGCTTACATTAAAAAACTGGCAGTTGATTATACTGATAATAATTTATTAGTTCAAACAAATAAATCTAACGACAAAAACAATTTTGAAAAGGACACACTGCAAAATGAAAAAGATTTAAGTTTAAAAAAACTTTTTGAAAATTTTCAATCATGTAAGTTAAAAAATTTATACATTATTGTTTTTAAACTTTTATTTATATAGTGCACATTTTAAAACAAAGTCAATTAGAAATTATTGACATGCTAAAATCTAAGGGAGATCAAATTGAAATAGAACATTCGTTTGAAAATGATGAACATAAAACAGTAATTAAAGTAGTTGAAATGGAATTCAGTGCATCAGATTCAAAAAAAGCACAATCTAAAAGATTAGCTGCTAACAAATTAATTGAATTTTTAAAAAGTTCAACTAAAAAGCAAGCAATAAATGTTTTTTCAGCTAAAGAAAAAGTTTTATCCGAATCTGAAGATGAAAATGATTCAGAAAAAGAAGAAGAGTCAATTATTGATTTGAAAACAAATTTTATACAAAAAGGAAATTTGCTTGAAAATTTTGAAAACGATGGTAAGATTAAAAGTTTATTTACAATTTGGTTTTTAAAGTAACTTTAAAAAAGGTTTATGTTTGAGTCATTATGTTTTGTAATATTTTGTGTTAAAAAATTTATTGTTATAACAAACAGTATGTGTTACTGCTCAAATAAGTGTTACGTTCTTTTAAAAAATTTAAAAAAATTTTACTTTTGTTTTTCATAGTTGAACCACTATGGGGTCAGTATAAAAAAGAAAATCCTTTTATTGTTAACCAACGAAAAGCAGTAAAACCCGCCTTAAAAACACAAATGCTAACTAATTTGAAAAAACAATATTTTGGTGATGATTTTGAAGGTCCTACAGATGACAAAATTGAAAAACTTATAATGCTAATTAAGCGATTTAATTCAGGTTTTTGTTAAAAAAATTTAAATATTCTGTTAAAAAATAAATTTTTTTACTTTTAGTTCATTCTAAAAACAAAACTAAATCACAAATTTTGCAAGATTTAAAAGCGTCTGGCCAGCCAATGTTAATTGCTCAAAACGTAGAAAAAAATGAAAAGCAAAAACTAAAATTTATTATGACAATTGATATTTGTGACATTGCAAAGTTTGAAGAATCGTCGTTTTATCAAAGAGATACTGAATTTGCTTTAAGTAGAACAATACGTTTTTTAAAAAATTTATCACATTTAATCAAAAACTTTCTTTATTGTAATGATATTTTTTTAGTTTTATTTTACATTTTAATTAACATTATTTTTTTAGTTTACAGCAAAACAAAATATCCAACAGCTATAATAGAATCACTGATGATTGACAATTTTGAAATGCTCAAGTTAAAAGAAAACAAACAGCAATCTGATGGTTTCACCAAAGTGACAATAGAAGCAACTAATATTGGTATTTTTACTGGAATTGATCAAGAATCAAAACGGGCAAAAGAAATTGCAATGACAAAAGTTTGTTATATTATAATGAAAATTGCTGGGATTCCACATGGAGTTCTTAAAGTAAGTGATTACATTGCAATCAAGCCATTGGTCAACAAACCAAAACGTGAAACCGAAAAAGAAAATCAAACTGAAAAACAGCTTATAAAAGAAAAAATAGATAATGCCGAACAAATTTGCAATTCGGAACATGATTTATCAAAATCTGATAATGAACATCAAAATGAAGCTTTAACTTATTCTGAAGTTTTCAAAAAAAGTTTAATTAACATAGAAAATAAACCATTTGATGACAGTAATGGGTTGGAACTAAATAAACTATTAAACGATCAAAAATCGTTAGAAAATGTTGCAAAATTACTATTCCATTTTAGAAAAGCAAACATTTTAGAGTCCAATTCATTTGATTCGCAAACTTCAATTTTAGAATATTTAAAATCCCAAGGAATACAAATCAATGTTTCAACTAAAACACTAAACGATGAATTTGTAACCAATATTGAAATAGCTAATGTAACTTCTTT